TTTCCAAAAATAATGTCAGTGCTCAGATTATGTCTGAAAGTGTTCACTGGTGAGTGGAAATCTTTCCTGACCCCTTATTGCTGCCACAAAAGAAGAACCTAATCTTGGAAAAGTCTTGCCAGCCTGGATGTCAATTACCACACAACTGTGACTTCTCACCTGGACCACTGTCTGTGTTATATTTTCTCTCACTTGGTGACCTCAGGTATCTGAAGCCTGGCTCAGTCATACAATGAGCCCAAGCCTCACCTCCCATTATATCCTGGTTGGATATTTGCTGGATCCTGTCACTTACTGGCTATGAGACATTGTGTGAAAAAGGTTGTGGAGAGGCCTTTGTTTCCTTATATGTAAAATGGGAGCACATCTCTTTGGTCAAGTTGTGAGCAATATCTGTATGGCCATATTTATAGCAGCATAGTCAAAAGGTGGAAGCAACCCAGTGTCCTTGGAGAGATGGATGGATAAACTAACTATGGTGTATACATGCAATGGAATATCATTTAGCTTTAAAAAGAAAGGAAATTCTGCCGAAGCCGGTTTGGCTCAGTGGTAGAGCGTCGGTCTGCGGACTGAAAGATCCCAGGTTCGATTCCGGTCAGGGGCATGTACATTGGTTGCGGGCACATCCCCGGTGGGGGATGTGCAAGAGGCAACTGGTCGATGTTTCTCTCTCATCGACGTTTCTAGCTCTCTGTCTCTCTCCCTTTCTCTCTGTTAAAAATCAATAAAATATATTTTAAAAAAAAAGAAAAAGAAAGGAAATTCTGACACATGTTTCAACATGGATGAATCTTGAGGAAATTATGCTAAGTGAAATAAGCCAATCACAAACAAAAATACTATATGATTCCAGTTATATCAATTACTAAGGGTAGTTGAATTAAAGAGACAGAAGTAGAATGATTGCCTGGGGCCGAGTGGAGGGAGGAAAAGGGGAGTATGTTCTGGAGATGGATGGTGGTGATGGAAGCACAACAAGTGATTGCACTTAGTAGTACACTTAAATATGCTTAAATGGTAAATTTTATGTTATACTAGGGGCCTGGTACACAAAATTCGTGCACAGGGGGATGGGAGGTGTCTCTCTGCCCAGCCTGCACCCTCACCAATCTGGGATCCCTCTCATGATCTAGGACTGATGGCTCCCAGCCACTTGCCTGCCTGCCTGCTTGATTGCACCTAACTGCTTCTGCCTGCCAGCCTGATCACCCCCTAACCATTCCCTTGCCAGCCTGATTAATTCCTAACTGCTCCCCTGTTGGCTTGGCTGCCCCTAACTGCCCTCCCCTGCTTCCTGGTCACCCCTAACTGCCCTCTCTTGCCAACCTGGTTGCCCCTATCTGCCCTCCCCTACTGGCCTGGTCTCCCCTAACTACCCTCTCTTGCCAGCCTGGATGCCCCTAATTGCCCTCTTCTGCTGGCCTGGTCACCCCTAACTGCCCTCCCTTGCAGGCCTGGTCGCCCCTAACTATCCTCTCCTGCTGTCCTGGTCCCCCCTTACTGTCCTCCCTGCAGGCCTGGTTTCCCCCAACTGCTCTCCCCTGCAGGCCCGGGTACCCCTCCTCCCCCAACTGTCCTTTCCTGCTGGCCTGATCATCCACAACTGCCCTCCCCTGCTGGAGGCCATCTTGTGGTGGCTATCTTGTGTCCACATGGGAGTGGCCCTCTTGTGTGTTAGAGTGATGGTCAATTTGCCTATCAGGCTTTTATTATATAGGATGTATTTTCCACAATAGAAAAATTTGTTGTAAGCATGAAAGAATATCAAGTAGGGAAAGTGCCTGCCATTTTATCAGCATTCAGTAAGAAGTAACAGCTTTTACTAGGGTTGGGACATTGTATTCTAATGGTTACATGATATTTCATCCTGTGGCTCTACCATAATTTGCTTCTTTTTGTTTGTTTGTTTGTTTGACTTATGGGTTACTTATAATACTCCACCATCGTAATGATGATGGAGTGAATTTTCTGTGTGTGCATGTCTCTTTTCCATTGTTTGGAGTTATAGCTTTGAGATCTATTTCCTGGACCACTTAGGGTGAATTAATCTTAATCTGTGGGACTTTTTCTGCATATGCCAACGGGGTTTCACAAGAGTGTATCACACACCAGCCAAGGGAGGGTGCCATTTGTAGAGCTGTAAGGGCACTTTTCAGCAGTTTTTTACAAAATGTAATAAGTAAGAGATGGTATCGTAATGTTGCAATATGTGTTTATTTCCTTTTATCACTAAAAGTGGTGAGCATGATTTAGTCTTGATTTACGTTTATATCTTTCTATGTGTGATTACATCTTTTACCTATTTCTAGTGTTGTTTCTATGCCTTTCTTATGAAATATATTTGTCATGTTGGTAACATATTATTGCCATTTTTAACATTCTTAGGGTTTTACTTCTTATGTAGTTAAATCATTTCTTTAAACATTTCAAAATGCAAAATAGTAATATTTTAAAGTAGATAAAAAGTGGTTTTACAATAACATGATTATTATACTTAATGTATCATCTTTCTATAATTTCCTCATTTTTCTTTTCATATCTGTTAGCATAAAATCTGTCTAGATGCTTAACTGACATTACTATAGTATTTGAATTAAAATTATATAGACTGATCAATTAATAAAATATTAATAACTCAATATAAAAAGGCATTATAAAAATTAGAAAAATTAAAAATTAAAATAATAAACATAACTTTTAACTCACTAATAATTAAATTTATTAAAAATAAATCTGGTACATATCCAGAAAGAGATGAGTAAAAAATATTGATAGTATTATAGGAGAGAAGTATAGATAATTTTAATTTTCTTTTTTATACTTCTCCACATTTTCTAAGCTTCACACTTTTTGAAAACTATTGTCTCTACAATCAAACAAATTTAAATTTGAAAGAAGATAAAATACAATGAATAGATTTTTTTTTTTTTTCTGGATTCATGTTCACTTTGCTCTCTTTGCTTTTATGTTAGACAGAATCCTGGAAAAAGTCAGAGGTATTTTTTCAGGTTATGGTTCAGAAATTCACTAGATATTTGACATAGTGCAAATCTAACTTATACCTCTCTCAGTGTTTATATTTGTAGAATGGGGAGCTTTACCTTCCCTGCTTACACATAAGATGGTTGTGAGAATGAAGGTGGGACTACCAACAAATATGAAAACAGGGTTACAAATTGAGGTGTAAGTTCAAGGGATTCCTGAACAAGTAAGGTTTGATAATGAGTTAGGACTCACTGAGAGCTGTTATTCTCAGTTACAGATTATTTTGGGCAAATCAACCAAAGTAAGAGATGCATAGAGCAGAAGCCTCTGTGTCCTGTCACATGCAGTCAGGGTTTTACTTGCCCATGTGTTACTTCCTGGCATCCATGTATGACCATATGCAGAGAATATGGCCCACCAGGAAACTGGTGAAAACTTTGATGTCCAGAGTTCTTATTGGGGCTTCATTACATAGGCATGATAGATAGATAGATTGATTGATTGTTCATAGAATGGAACTCAGTCAGTGTTATTCCTACCCTCAGTTATATGGTCTTTAGCCCTCACCTTAACATTGTTGGGTATAGCCAACCTTATCCTAAGATTTGAGGAGCTGCTCAATCTTAAGATTCTCAATTTCCATCTTAAGACCGCTGGTATGGGAGCTCCACCCTAAAGAAGAACACTTCTACCAGAGAAATAGATTACCATGACCTAGAGGCCTATGCAAGGTCAGATAGCTCTTTAGGTGAGGCTAAATGTCTAACTACACATGAAAGGGTTGAAGAGAGATGGACAACAGAGTTAAATATGTAGATGATGTTTATATGGACAACTCTATTATTTACTACTAGAGGCCTGATGCACAAATTTGTACACCAGTTGGGGCCCATGGCCTGGCCTGTGGGATCGGGCCAAAACCAACTCTCTGACATCCCCCAAGGGTCCTGGATTGGGAGAGGGCACAGGCCAGGCCAAGGGACACCATGCCAAGGGACCCCCACCGGTGCATGATCAGGGCCAGGAAGGGACCATGGGAGGCTCCAGGGTGTGTCTGGCCCATCTCACTCAGTCCCAATTGGCTGGACCCCAGCAGAAAACTAACCTACCAATCGGAGCATCTGCTCTCTAGTGGTCAGTGCATGACATAGTGAGTGGTTGAGCGGCCTCAGCATATCACTAGCATATTATACTTTTATTGGTTGAACAGCCAATCAGACAACTGGACACTTAGCATATTAAGCTTTTATTATATAGGATATCCTAACACTGTAAAATAAGGAAGGGTATGAATTTTGTAGGTGTAAGTGATATTGCAAATATCCTTTTCATGGATTCACAGAATCTTGGAGACCACCTTTGAGAATGGCCGCAGGTGCTGGAGACAGACATTTGCTACAGTAGTTGTTTACCACATAGACAAAGTGGGCTGAGAAAGCACTTCCTGCCCCACTGGGTATCTGAACCTGACCTTGCCTCAGTGTTAACAGCTCAGCAAATGTTCCTCTGTTAATGAATTTATCTAACATGAACAAGTTATAGGTCTGCATTTTACAAGTTTCTCTATTCGGCACCATCTCTCTCTGAATTGCAGTTGAGCTTACTGCACACAGCAAGGCATGATGATAAAAATAAATCAACTCATTCCCCTTTGCAGGGTTTCAAATCTCAAGCACTATGTCAGAGGGGATTCATAAGGTTTCATGAGGGTGAAATTGGAAAAATGAAAACTCGAGCTTGTTTTCTTGTGAAATCTAAAAAAAAGCTAGAGCACAGTGGAGAATTCAGCCTTGTCAGGAAGGTTGATAAATGACAACTGTATGCTTTTAGGGGAAAATAACCAGTGACAGAGACTTAGAACAACACTTCAGCTAAAGCACAATTATGCACCCACCCTTCCTTCAGAGGGAAGGATGTTAGACTTGGTCTAGAGGTTGTTGTTTTTTAATAAATAACTTGTAATAAATTGATGCTGTCAGTGAATTTTGGTTGTACATTCTGTTTCTTTCAAGGAAAAACTGGGCATGCCGAAGTAGTCCGGGTGGTGTACCAGCCAGAGCGCATCAGCTTTGAGGAGCTGCTCAAGGTCTTCTGGGAGAATCATGACCCGACCCAAGGTAGATGAGTGAGCCAGTATTTAATTATCTTACTAATTACAGCTGGGATAATTAGTGTTTGAGCTGCATGGAAGAGATGAACCTTGAAATCACACAGGAGCTCAAGAATATGATTGCAGACATTTATTGACGGAGAAGAGGAGGGGCTGGGGAGAAAAAGGGTGAGAGAATAAAGGCGCAGCCAGTCGGTGCCCCTCCCCCCTTTACAGCTGTCAGGGGTGGGAAAATTCCCACAGAGAAAGATGCCAGACAATAGAGGTTTGTTCACCTTTATTATTGCATTATTCCTCCTTAATGCAGTCTTTTGTCTACAAAATTAAAGTGTCTTTTAGCAGCTCCAAAGTTTTCTGATTTATGGTTCCTTTATTTTCCTGAATGTAGCCTTTCTTGTCTTTTGACATTATTGGCTATGTGTTTTTTAATGTCTGTGGGTGATAAAAAGAAAGAAAGAAAGAAAGAAAGAAAGAAAGAAAGAAAGAAAGAAAGAAAGAAAGAAAGAAAGAAAGAAAGAAAAAAGAACATAAAGGTAAAATACAGTATTCAGTAGCTCCACAATGCTCTCATTATTTAAATATTTCATTTTTCTTCTGTGAAATTTGTTATATGGAGACATTAATATATTTGTGTTATAAACAATGTGGCCAGAAATTTTATTTGAATATACACACAAGCAAAAATCCAATGTTGGCAAATATTATTGTAGTATTCAATAATGGAGCCATTTCCAGATCTCATCCTAACAGCATTATGATCACTGCTTTGCCAATGGGATGATCTGATATTATGAGGCTTATGAGCTGAAAAGTACTATATGATTTTCACAAACCCTGTTCATTTAGCAATCAGTGTATTTATCAAAAATACTTCCCTTTAGTGTCAAGTTTTTGTGTAACGGGTATGCTATGTTGGCACTTTCCTGGTGAATGGATGTCTTTTTCCACATTCTCACTGTGCTTTGTGCTGGAACCTTAATGCGATTCAGCAGCAGAGACTGGTGGGTCCTGATTCTGAGACTTCCCAATGTCAGTGTGATTTGCCAAAGGGTGAAGGTCAGAGCTAAGACAAAAGTAACAAATTGATAAATGAACCAGGGTAAGGCAAACCCACCAGGGTGGGTGAAAGCCTAGGAAGGAGGCCAAGAACCAGTTTTCCATTTCAGTGAAGTGTGGTTAGACATGGGGGAATGAGTCCCTGGTGGGAGAGCAATGATGTAGGGGACAGGGACAGTAGAGGACTGGTAGAGCAAGAATACTATAATCAGAAGGTTCAGGTGTCAGCCCAATGAGGACTACCAACCTCCCTTCATATCAAGTGAGACAGGCTTGGCTCAGTGGCAGTTGTGCCTGATGAGCTCTTAAAGGTGATTGCTAGGAGCAGCCATTCAGCCATTTGTCTCTCAATGCCAAGGGTCAGGGCTGAATGCTGAGAACTCCAAAATTCTCAATGGAGACACATACCAGGAGCCCAGTAAACCTGAAGTCATGTAGGAAACAGGCTTCAACAGGTCCCTGAGGTTGGGTATGCACCCTTTGGCCAGGCCAACCATAATGCTATTATCTGAAAGAATCACCTTATGTTTAGCCCTGGTAAAATTTTGAAAAGGGTGAAGTCTGTTATCCACTTTTCTTGCCTTATTTCTCTTAACTTCTTACCAATTTTATCATATTTTTACCTCAGATAATTAGGTCTCTAATACTGGCCCCTGATCTCATGGGGGAATTCTACTTTAAAAAAGAATTTTAAAAGAACCTCTTGGTCTTCCATCCCACATATTAAATTTATCTCAACTGTGCCTTAGCCCTTTTTGAAATCATTTGTTTACTGTCTGATTTGTTAGGGATGCAATAACAGTATCTAAATCTGGGTGGCTTAACCAACAGAAACTTTTCTCACAGTTCTGAAGGCTGGAAGTCAGAGATGAAGGTGTTGACAGGGTTGGTTTTACCCTGCCTGTCTTTTCTCTTTATCTTCACATTGTCTTCTCTGTGTGCATCTCTATTCTAATCTCCTCTTACTATAACAGTATCACTCAGATTTAATTAGGGCCCACCCAAATGACCTCATTTAATCTTTTATTTTTATTTATTATTGATTTCAGAGAGGAAGGGAGAGGGAGAGAGAAATAGAAACACCAACAATGAGGGAGAATCATTGATTGGCTGCCTCCTGCATGACCCACACTGGAGATCAAGCCCATAATCTGGGCAAGTGCCCTGATATGGAAATTAAACCATGACCTCTTAGTTCTTAGGTTAACACTCAACCACTGAGCCACTCAGCTGGGCTGGCCTCATTTAGTCTTAATCTTTAATGACTATCTCTCAATATGGTTATGTTTTGAGGTACTGGAGGTTAGGGTTTAAAATTATGATTTGTCGGTACTAGGGAAATACAATTTAGCTCATAACACTAATAGTATGCCATATTGGTTGGTGTACTATTCTTGGGGTATTTTTATCCTAACTGGGTTGCATAGACTGGAAAAGACTTTAGAGGTCATCTGGTTAAACTTTAGCTTTAGTTCTATAAGCCAAAAGATGAAATTGGGGTTTAAGGACCATGGGATTGTTGAGTGACATTTTTACACTGATATTTGGACAAATTGCACATCTAGGAACAGAGTTTCTCTGCCCTTTCAAACATTTGATCATACTTAGAATACTGCTTAATGCAATATACACAGTCACACTCACTCATAGTAAATCACAAGATATCTGATCTTTCCACATTATTATTAGAGTTACCTTTTTGGATAGTTCAAAGTGATGGGCTATGGTAACAATAGTTTTCTGCCTTGCAAGGTTTCCCATGAACCTTCTGGAAAAAAAGACCAATGAGTGATCACATGACCCAGGTCTGGCCGATCACAGTATCTTTTCCTGTTGTCAACAATGTTTGATCCAAAAAACAGTCATGTGACCCAAACAGGACCAATTGGAGTTCTTCCCTATGACTCTTGATGAGGGAAACTAGTGTTCTCACTTTATTGGGGTGCCGAGGTGATGGTGCACTGAGCATGGAAAGAGTCTGTTCACAGGATAAGCAAGGGAGAAAGATGAGCTGAGACACTGAGAAGTGAGAGTTGGGAAGAGAAACCTTCAGGAGACTTGGAGCCCTGAGACTTCATGCTCCTACAATTCTTCCTTCAATTCTGAGAGTTCTCCTTGTAGCATTACAAGAAGTGAGGGTTAATACATATCCTCCTCTTTCCTTTTTTTTTTTTTTACTAAAGCTAGTTTGTTGGGTTTCTACTACTTGCAAATAAAAAAAAATCCTAAATAATCCCCCTATTCAGCTTAATCATTGTGCTCATTATATTCAGTAACTACCGTGTTTCCCCGAAAATAAGACATCCTCCGAAAATAAGACCTACTTACAGGTTTCCTTCTGAGTGAAATATAAGGCATCCCCCAAAAATAAGGCCCCCCTAGGTAAACATGAGAGATTTGCTCCACTGATTCTGAAAGAAATGGAGCCACAAGAAATTCACCAGGAAATTCAGGAATTGTATTGTTATGATGATGTTCCAGAAGATGAAGACATGATTGTCATTGAATAAATGAGTAAATTCTTGATACTGTAGGAGTCACAGTTTGTCTGGTTTGTGTTGACAACTACCATACTACCGTTCCATATACAGGTAATAAATTTCCTTTATTTTCATTTAACAATAAATGTGTACCGTATTCTTCTTCATGGAAAAAATAAGATATCCCCTGAAAATAAGACCTAGCACATCTTTGGGAGCAAAAATTAATGTAAGACACTGTCTTATTTTCGGGGAAACAGGGTATTAGCTAACCATGTTCATTTGGCTCTATAAATCAGAGGTCAGTGCTGTCTCCACTTGTACTCAAATTTTGTCTTTCTGGTGAAGCAATTCTGGTAAAGGCAAGAACATTCCGTAGGCAGTTTTAGGAGTCCACTCTTGTTTCTGGAAAAGAACCTATTGCTTCACAGACCAGAGACTCCACCAAATCCAGTATGCCACTTGTTGCCTTCGAAATGTCCATTTTCTGAGTCAGAGCACTCAGTCTTAAATGTCTCTATTTACCTCATCTGCTCAAAGGAATGCTTTTCTTTTCTGTGCCACTTTTCACTGGGAAACATGGCAAGAGTCACCATGGGACATCAAGTAGAGAATTGAGAGGCTGTGGTCAGTGTCAAGTTCATGTGCAGCCCAGCTATCTCCTGCTACATTCCCACATATATGCCCATCATTCAGGAAGTGAGCTTCAAATTTTTACCTCAGAAAAATTACAGGTAAAGTATGTTTTAGGACATCAGGGCTCCCTGGAAGCTCGCTTCCTGAATGATGGGCATATATATGGGAATGTGGCAGGAGATAGCTGGGCACGTGAACTTGACACTCTGACCACAGCCTCTCAATTCTTTACTTGATGTGAAGCTGAACCCAGGAAACACACAATTCTCCACAGAACTATGACTCAAGAGAAATGTGTTTTAATTAGCATGTTGAAAGACTTTAATACCTTGTTTATAAAATCATTAGGGATTTAAAGGGGCCACTTAAATGTTTTAGTTATAATTTATTTCATTTTGTGGGAAAAGCAGTCTTCCTGAATATTTGCAGATGTGGGATTCTTGCCAATGTCAAGTGTCTACTGTAGAAGAAAAAGCAGAAACTTGAGCTTAATTAAAGTCAGCTTTATTAATTTGGGTATTCATGACATAGATTAGACAGAGAATACCCTGCATGTTCTTCACTGCTTCCAAGTACTAAAGGCGGCTCTCACAGTCTCCATCCTCCTCCATGGAAAGAAGGAAGTCCCCATGTCTCCCCTTTGAAGGGAGCAAAGCCCATAAGAGAACTTTTAGAAAGTGGAGGCTCCTAAAGATATAGGTGGGGCCAGACACCTGTAATTCCACAGCCAATATGCAGTGAGTCCTGTTGTGTGGAGTAGCAGACCTACTGGCATCATTATACATTTGGCCAGTATATAGGGTAGACTTTTCTCTTTATTTACCAATTATCATAA